ACAGTGGATTAGATTTTGGATATGCATACTAAAGAAATACTGATAGTAACCCAACCTTTTGCTCTGACATTTTCTGAACTTTTGTTTGTTTTTGTTGAGACAGTCTCACTTGTACCCCAGGTGGGCTGGAATGAAGAGCCCAACTCTTTTAGATAAAGAACTGATAACCTGATGGGGTCTATGACAGAGAAAGTAATCAGTTTGGTTGGAAGAACAACTGTGTAGATGGTAGATTTATGAAACCAAATAGGCTAAGAAAGGAATGTCTGGTAAAGTAAATTTTTTTTGGGGGGGTGGAGGCAGTAGTGGGTTTGAACTCAGGGCTTTACGCTTGCTAGGCAAGTACTCTATTGCTTGAGCCATGCCTCCAGCCCAAATAAAATTTTTTTTTAAAACTGAGAATTCATATTAAATGTCAGACAATTTCTAAAAGTGGAACTGTTTAAGTAGGGAGCTCAATATGGAAGCTGGACACCTAGAAAGAAGTCAGAGTTAGCGATAAAGAGATTTGGGCATCACATACAGATGGATAAGTCAAAGCAGTCAACAAGAATTCTTAGAGAATATAATGTGTAGTGAAGAATAACCAAATGTTACTGTTTCAAAAAACAAAACTAGTTTCCATTTAAATGTGAATTTACCTGATTTGTCTGTAAATCAGTTGATCCATTACTTCTAGGTGTATAGTTGTTTCTCAAATTTCCTAAAAACCACCAAGGCAGGCCAGCTATATCCCACTCCTCAAAATCAAGGTCCAGCCTAGAGGAGTCATCTTGAGTTAAATTTTCTATCAAGTCTTCATCTACAGAAGTCAAATGAAAATAACATCTATGTATTTAAAACTTAAGAACAAAGACTCTCCTCAGAATACTCTCAGAATCCTCTTTGTAAGTAAAAAAATAATAATAATTCCTAATTCTCAGTAAGAAAGAACCAGAAATCATGTATCTACCTTAGTGGCAGAGCCCAAATCTTCCCTGTTTAGGCTTCATTAAGCAAGTAATGACATTAGAAGTAGATCACTTATCAAGGAATTTAAACTCTAAATTAATCACCTGAAAAATGGCACTGTTCTAAAAGGGTTTTTAGATAAATGACCATTTACTGGCATTTTAAACATTCTTACCTCTGCAATAAAGAATGACTTGTTCTCTCTCCTTCCTGCTTCTCCAAAATACCTGGCTCATCTAGCCAGGTGGGGCCACCATTGAGTTTTATGACCCCTACTTCTTCCTTTTCCCAGTGCCCGCTTGCATCCCACCTGGCACACCTAGCCAGATGGGGCCATACTGCATTTCGTAATGCCTCTCCCTTACCTTTAATAAACTATTAAAAAGAAAAGAGAATGGCTTGCTCTAGTGCGTGATGCCTGATAGTGCCTCCACCCACTGAAGTGCAAATGGCAACAGCACAGTGGCCTAGCCTTCTCATGAGCATAGCAGCGTGATACAGACTATAAAGGGCAATCACAAGGTTGTTCAGGCATTCTTACTGGTATCATGTTATTTTGGGATATTTCTCAATAATTCATGTTTTTGTAACAAACAACCATTATAAACACTGAACCCTAAGTTGTCTAAATGTGTGTGTGTGTGTGTGTGTGTCCCTTCTGGGTCAATGAGTTCTTTTGGAATTAATTATCTAGAAATAACACTAATATTAAGGCCCCCACAAATTTCAAGATCACGTGTTGCATATTTGAACCACACTGAACAGAGTTACTAACATAAGTCTACTATCACATCTTTTCTTTCTTTCCCATCCTCCAGTCCTTTTTACTGTACTTCAATTTTTTTCCTACTTTCTCACTTTCTTCTACCTCTTTTCAATGCACTAGGCCTGCCCATGGCTATCACAGGTGCTTAAATATGCTGAAGCACATACCGGTGAAAGAATTTCTGCAACAAATGGGTTCCTATCAGAATATAAGGTTATCTTGTCCACTTACAAATTATATTGATCCTGTTATTATAGGTATGTCTGTGGTCAAGGAAACTTCAACTACCTTTTTACTTACTCACTGCTTAAATGATCAAAAGCCAAATTCCTGAGATCACATCATATTAAAGTTTATCCTTGTATTCAAGCTCTATAACTTTTTATCAAGAAAGTAAATAGATCATTCTTTCCAGACAAAAATTGTCCTTTCTACCTACAGACCTTCCTGAAAATTCTAAATTTATTCCCAAATTTTCATCACCAACAATACAGTCTCTTAAACTGACTGGTCTTATATTTTAAACAGCCTTGAGTAGAAAATTAGTATTTACATTTAAATATCAAAATTACATATTTAATATCATATATACTGAAATAGTTCCAAGGCAAATAGGCTGCCCAAAATTCAGTTTATGTTCAAATATAATTTGAAAAACAAAAAAATCCACATGGACAAACTGATTCAAATTTAAACATTTAGAATAACTTCAGCAACATAACTTTTTGGTATACAAACAGAAGCCTGACTTGCCTTTGATCCAAGTATGAGCCAGGTAACTAGACTAGAAACCATAATGCCATAAAATACCTTTGGAAAATGTATGACTTTATACATTAAAACAACAACAACAGAAACTCCATATTTAGCAGATATTTTATAAGGCAGGGTTTTGGAATCAGTTAACTCATTCAGCATGACAAATAAGATGGGAAAGACCTGGTGACTACCAGCCAAGGGCAAATGAATTACTAGGCTTCCTATATCTTATTCTTGTCTCTGTGACAGTAAGTACATTTTGTCATTTTTGCAAACTTCAAAAGACAAAATGAAAATTCTAACAAAATCAAATTTATACAGAGGTAACAAATTAAAAAAGCCAAGTAAACTGAAATCATATATACAAAAAACTCAGTAGGTGGTAAACTGATAAATGTGCAACCATCTTCTACTAGGCATGCTAGCTAGTGAAAGTTCTTACACTATATCCCATTAATCATGGAGGAAGCAATACCATCTTCAAAGTTAACAGTGGTGACTAGGCTGAAAAAAGATTTTCAGATAAGAATGAGAAGCAAAGCCAGGCGCCGGTGGCTCATGCCTGTAATCATAGCTATTCAGGAGGCAGAGAACAGGAGGATCTCCATTCGAAGCCAGCCCAGGCAAGTAGTTTGAGAGACCCTATCTTGAAAATACTTAACACAAAAGGGGCTCATGGAGAGGCTCAAGGTGTAGGCCCTAAGTTATAGTCCTGGTACTGCAAAAAAAAAAAAAAAGAATGAGAAGCAAGACCTGTCCCCCAACACCCCCCACACATGCAGAGACAGCATTATTATTTTTTGAGTTCTCTATACAAAAGCTTGTATAATGGTCATAATTACAGCTAGTACTTAATATAGTATGTGCCATTTCTAGAAATAAAAAAAAGTATCTATGAAAATTAGAGAAACAAAGAGAAGAAAAGTGTACACAGCTTTAACCCAAAACTTACCTTCTCTAGAATTCCTGCGTTTATGCTGTAAGGTAGGCAGTGTGGGAACATTACCTTCTTCAGTTCTTTTCCTGGAACTGGAACTTTCCTCTGCACTTTGCTGAAAGAAGAGAAAGGTGTCCATCAGTGCAGTAGAAATGACTGAGACCAGGGGATGTAGCAGTTCCATTCTGGCTCACCAGTTAATGTGCAACACAATGGGTTATGCACAAGAAAGAGAACTCTGGAATTCACAACAGTCATCAAATACAGCAACACAAGACCTCTACTCAACCCCTATGAGCAGAGCTGGGAGAATCCCAAACCTAGGGGGGGAGGGGAGAAATAACCTCTGCACAAAGGCCAAAAAAAAAATCTACTCTTTGAAACAGGTTATCTGTATAAAGCCTCCGGCGTGCTACAAAATTAAGCATAATCCAGAAAACATGTGAAACCCTTCCTATATACCAAAATTATTTCCCCAGATTTAAGGAAACTTTAGGAAAGGGCCTGACAATGAATTTAATTACAAGCCTGTTACTGTCTAATAAAACAGTTTCCTCAAACATTTACGTACATACACAATCTCAAAAACACAAACACAGCCACACGCAAACCCAAAGAAAGTGCAACTGGAAGAACTGAAGATCAGAAGTGCTACATCCCAAAGAAAGATTCAGAGACTGGAACTCTGTTATGGGCAGAACAGAGAAGGTTCACTCTGTCCCTGATCTGTGAACTCCCAAGAACCTTTTCTTATTCAATTCTTACCACATCAAGGAAAGGCCTTGGGAGTTCAAGATCCACAGGTACAGAGAAGGGGCCACTCTGTACAACAAAAAAGTCACCGTGTGGTGATTTTACCTTCAGTTGGTCTTGACTTGGAATATCCATACTGTGATCCTGTGCGAGAGCGAGAGTCTGAGCAGCATCTGGATAGCAAGTAAAACAAAAGGAAAACCTTCCCTGGTAATAACCATTCTTTCCACACAAAAAAGGACCTCAGCAAACAACCCTGAAGCCAGGTTTGCTCCCTACAGATGTACTTCTCCATGTTGGCTAGACAAGGCTCTCATGTGCAAGGGAAAAACCAGAACTGATAAAAATAACAAAAGACTAAGACAAGCCATGTTCAAAATAACACCAAGATAAAATCTAGAGGAAAATGAAAAATGATTAAAAATATTTTCCATGTCAAGCTTTTGTATTTTCATGCAAAAATGTCCCAAGTAGGAAATACTGGAGAATATGTCATCTCTTCCTATATTACCAAATCTGCCTAATTTATAAAAAACAAAAAATATTTGTTTTTTTAAATTTGACCTATATTTTTAAGTGTTACACTGCAGTGATCTGAAAATCTGGAATTTCCCCACTTGTTTCATAAATCAATAGCACTTTCAAGCAAACCTACATTCGAAATGTCAATGGTAACTTCATAATTTAAATTCCCATCATGTGAACAGATAGCTTTCACAAAGTCTCATTTTTTTTTTCAGTTACTACAAACATTTCCTAAGAAGGAAAAGGAAGTAGATACAGTTTCTCACAAGGCCAACAGAAGCAGAGAAAAATATAACCTAGTTGAGAGAAATTCTTAGATGTTGCATTAGCTGATGTATTCCAAGGACTCAGAAAATTTTCAGTAGAACAAAAGATAAAACGTGGCTACAGAAAAGAACCAGCTGCAGAGAATTTAATAACCTGAACTATATGTTATATGAAGCTGTATGTAACTGAGATACACCTAAGTAAGTCTGTTGTGGATCAGGTTCATCAGCCAATGCCAGGTTCAGAGACAAGACATTTTGTGAAATATCATCATCTGATAAAAACTACCAGAGAGTGAATCTAGATTCTAAGAATGGTTGGACAATTCAGTTGTTTTGCACAAAGCAAACATTTTTTCAAAATTTTAATAACAAAGAGCATTATTTCTAAAGTACTTTTAAAGCTAAGTGGAGATACTGAAAGTTTCAGAGACAGCATTTTCTAACCACAGCAGTCTTCAAAGCAAAGTCTAACTACTACACAATGTGGGTAAAGCAGTTCTTAAGCAAATCAATTCTATTGCTATCATTTATACTACTAAAGCCTTAAGACCTTACCTAGGCTAAAACAGTAAGAAGTAAAAGTAAATTATCTGGGAAAGCTACAATGCAAGAAGAAATTTAAAAATAAACACAAAATTTATAGTATTTAATTTTATTAGTATACATAGGGAAATTTGGAGAATGATTTAGGAAGAACCACCTTTACTTCAAATAATGGCACTGTCTTTAACCATCAAAGTAAAAGACCTAACCCATTTGCAAAGGTGTAAAAACATTTACTTTTCTTATCTGTCCTTTCAAATAAAAAATGTAAAAATCAACAGAAATGGCCATCCATAAGTACCAAGAGCAAGTCAGAGCAAACACAGTAAGAATTACTTGGGGCAACTGCCTAGTTTTTAAACACATCATTATTATTATGGTTATGTTAGATGCTACCATTTGGGGAATCTAGATATGATATGGGAAGTCCACATTATGTGTTTTCAACTTTTATTTTCTCTCCCCTCCCCCCACCTTTTGGTGCGGCTGGGGTTTGAACTCAGGGCTCCATATTAACAAAGCAGGTGCTCTACTGCTTGAGCCACACCTCCAGCCCATTTTGCTCTAGTTTTTTTGGAGATGGAGTCTCACCAACTATTTGTCCAGCTGGCCTCAAATTGCAATCCTCTTGATCTTAGCCTCCCAAGTAGCTAGGATTGCAGGTGTGAGCCACGGGCACCCGGCTTCCTTTGGCTTTTTGAAACAGGGTCTTGCCATGTTCCCTGACTGGCCTTGAACTTGCTATGCTCCCACTTCTACCTCCTGAATGCTGGGATTACAGTGTGAACCACAATACCCTGACTTTTACAACTTTTAACTTTGAATTTTTTCTTGAAAATGACAACTTAGATAAAAAATAACAATGTTTTAAAGATTTAATGTTCAGAGGAAAAAATGGTCCAAAAAATGGGGGTGGGGAAAGGATTCTGTTATAAGCAAAGGTTAAGAAGGATTAAGGAGACATCAGTATGTGGCAGACAAGGAGTGGTCAGACAGAAATCTCTGCTCTACCACCACCAGTGGGATCTAACATTGGGCAAGTCACTCATCTTACTTAAAAAACCTGTTTATCTCCAGACTTTCCTCACAAGGTCACTGTGAGAATGAATTGCTAAAGAAGTGTTCTGCACAGATAGCTCAATGGTAGAACACTTGCTGAGTATGTACAAGGCCCTGGATTCACTTCTCAGTACCAAAAAAAAAAAAAAAAGTTTTGTAAAATACATGTTAAATTCTGCAGAGAAAGTACAAGAAAGAGAATTATACACACTCCAGATATCCAGAAAACAGAATAATCAGAAAAAAAATAAACTGAAAAAGCAGATCAGCAATTTAAAAATTCTCCATGTGTTTAAGCCATGCATGACTACCCCAAGAAAGCCATTTTATTTCACAATGAAATTTACAGCTACATGAAGTGAGCAAAGTGGGCAAACCGCACAGCTCAATGAAACAAACAGGCTTCAAAAGTCAACGTAAGTTCAAAACCATGTCTCAATGTGAGAGCAAAACCTCTTTCTCTGACTTGAAAACCTGTCTTTATCAGGAGGGAATTCTTTTTAAAGTATTTATCTCAGTAAACATAGTCAACTTGAAGATATCACATATCTTGGGCTTTGTTAGGGGCAATGTTACCTAAACTCTTAATTTGAAGCTCACAAAAAGGCTTCACGTAGGTATGAAGAGGAAAAGTCTCATTATTTGGAAATGAGTGAGAAATAGAGTTACATTTCAGTAGTATCCAGTTTATTCACTTCTCTCTACCCTACCACCATTTGCAATGTCACACTCCAAAACAGCTAGTTTTCTGCACTGTAGTAAATTAATTCAAAGGGCAGTATTTAAAAGGTCTGGGACCAAACAAAGGGTTAGACATATTGAAAGTCAGAAAACAGATTACTAAAGTCATTAGGTGAAAGGTTCCTGGAGGAACCTTTTTAATGCATGGATCAGAACTGACACTACCTGAGCCCACAGAATCTTAACACAACCGAAAGAGGAACAAGCAGACCTTACATGATTCTGATGTGATGAAACAGAAGTACTAAGCATCATCTATGAAAGTCTCTTTGCAAAGAAATTTAAATTTGAATCTACTCAAGCACGTCTAGTTTACCAAAAATAGGAAGGATAAAGAAACAAGTTAAACAATCACAAGAATACAATCTGCCGACTCTAGAATGTGGGAATTCTACAGTACAAATGACCCATTTCTTCAACAAATGACATGAAAACAAAGGGAGTGTTCTACATCACAGCAGGGTGACTGTAATAATTTACTGTATATTTAATAATGTATACTTCAAAGAGCTAGCAGTGAAAATTTTTAGTATTTCCAACACAAAAAGATTAATGTTTGAGGTGATGGATATGCTAGTTACCCTAATTTGATCATTGCACACTCTATCCGTGTGACAAAATACATGGTACCCCATGAATATGCACAATTGTCAGTTTTTTTAAAAATAATTTTTGTTATCGAATAAAGGTGTTAAAACTAAATCAAACACAAACACACACAAAAAAAAGGATGGTTACATTTTACAGAATAGACACTTATGAGACATATCAACCAAATGCAATGTGTGGACTTTGGATCCTGATTCGAACAAGCTAAAATATAAGATATTTTTGAGATAACTGAGGGGAACATAAAACAAATGACAAACTGGCTTATTAGATAGTGTTATGGAGTACTTACTGATTTTGTTACTACTATTTTTGAGTGTAATAATGATGTTGTAGTTGTGTTTGAAGGAAAAAAGTCCTTATCTGTTAGAATTTTTTTTTCAAGTATATCAAGATGAAGCACATTAAAATATTTACAGTTACTAAGTCATCTGAAATTTTTCACAGTGAAAAGTTTAACGGTATTCTGTATGACAGGTAATATGTATTCCTCCCAGTCACACCAAAGACAGCATTCCATCTCCATTTCAAGCTCCTTCCTTTCCCATCATTTGCCCCCTTAAACTCAAAGCTATGATACAGACTGAAGAAATATGTGACATACCTGTGGTAGCAGTAGCTAATGTGACAAGATTCTTTCTTAGCATATCATAGAGAGGGCTGTAAAAGAAATAAAAAAATTAACAAACCCAAATGCCACTCTAAAGATCAGTGATACTGGTAGTTTCCCATTAGTATTAAATGTATTGCTGATATGTTATCTCCCAACTTTCTCTATACAGAGACAGTATCTTTAACGCAGAATTTTTTTTTAATTATTTAAATAATAAGTGAATGCTCAGGCTCTTGCACCACTTTATCACCTATTAAAAAACTGATCTGCGGGGTAATCCTAGCTACCCCAGAGGCACAGATCAGGAGATTGCTGTTTGAAGCCAGCCCAGGCAAATAGTTCGAGAGACCCTATGTCGGAAAAAACCCATCACAAATAAAGGGGCTGGTGGAGTGGCTCAAGGTGTAGGCCCTGAGTTCAATCCTTAGTATGGGGGGGGGAAACTAATTTACACTTTATTTCATTAGCTAACAGACAAAAATGGGAAGATTTTCTTTGGAAATTGTTGCTTCCTTCTATGGGTAAAGTTTTATATTTTGATTGGGGAGTAGTGGTAAAGGGGAGTCTTACCAATGTAAGACAAAATGAGCTCAGAAGAAAGCATTACTAAGCTAGAGAGAGAGGAAAAAAAAAAAAGCCATGGCTTCTCAATTACTAACTAGCTTAGTTGGATAAGCTAATAACTATATACCCCAAGCAACTGGAAAAAACCACACAGGGCAGATTAGCTCTACTGTGATTCTTATTGGGCTCAAACTGCCTGGCAATTGTAAATTTTTCTCATCAGCTCCCTGTTGCTTCCTCCCCTCTAGTAACTACCTCACAAAATTCTAATCTAGGTAGAGTAGATCTACCTCCTTCCTACCCAGATCTTTACATACAATCTTCAATTTGAAACTCTCCTTCAACTAATCCCCTCTAATCAACTGTGTCCTTCAGCTCTTTACTTTAAGAAACCCCTAACACTCTAAATCCTGCCCACTCCCTGCTTTGTGTACCTTTTTCTTTTTTTTTTTTGTTTTTGGTGGTACTGGTGTTTGAACTCAAGGCCTAAACCTTGAGCCACTCTGCCAGCCCTTTTTTGTGAGGGGTTTTTTCAAGATAGGGTCTATTTTGCCCAGGCTGGCTTTGAACCACAATCCTCCTGATCTCTGCCTCTTGAGTAGCTAGGATTACAGGTGTGACCCACGGGTGCTCAGCTTTGTGTGTCTTTTCTATAGCACTTACCGCAGTGTAAATTTACCATGATAGGGTGTGATTATTTAAGTAAGGAAGAGTATCCACTGTCATGGCTACTCTGTAAGTTCCATGAAATAAGACTGTCTATGTTGCTCACTACTTTACTGCTAGTGCCTCATGGATTACCTGTCATATATAGGCTCTTGAACATTTGTTAACTAAAGGAAGAAATAATCATTAGTAACGTAGGGGGATTAAGTGGATAGTGTAAGTACTCAGCAAGATACACAATCCCTCACTCTTTATACCTTGGATCTTTCACAGAAAAGCTCTGACGTCCCAGTAGTTCTCCCAAAAGATCTCCACCACAGTGCACCATGTGCTGCTGCTGCTGGTCATACAGCTGCTTCACCATTATGTACTGGCCTAGATAGTGCATTACCTGCACGGGGACAAGGCACCATGAGACAATCTGCCCAATGGCTGCCAAAACACGTATAAATTTTGAGTAGTAAGGCATTTTGCTAGAGAAAGAAATAATGAGATTTTCAGTGCCTGTGCACTGACTTCTACACCAGGATAGTTGCTTCCAACTACTAGGCTCATCCACTCAGCTTTCTGGCCATCTTCAGAGGCAGACTTTTTTAGCACTAAGATGCAGTTATCTGACAATGAGAAAAGGCGATGACTTACTTAGCATCCCCTTAAAATTTTTCTTACCAGTCAAAATGAAGGAATCATTAAAATTAATACTTCCTGGGCCATAAAAACATTTCTAAGTTCAGGGGATAAATAAACAATAGGCTTTTGATGCATGTTCATTTACTTCTTTTTGGTAAATGTACAATGCTTAATGAACCATCAGCATAATAGCGTATGTTTTGTTCATAAAACAGAGTCTAGCTGTTTAATAAAAATCTGATTTTTTTTTCACAGTTCACAAATGAAAGGGAATACAAACAATTTCAGGATCCCTAACTTAAAAGTTACCCTTTAAAATTTAGATGAACAAGAAAAAAAAAAAAAGAAAGAAAATGTAGATGAAGCATTTATTACATTACCTAGGTTGCTACCTTTTGTCAAGGACTCAGCTGAATTTTATGATAAACAAAAATAATGAAATCTGTTGAAATGCTTTCTAAAGGTAACAGATTCACATTTTTTAACTTAGTAATTAAGTTCTTGTTACAGATCACAAGCAGACCAAATTAGCTGTGTTTAGCTCTAGGCTCAACTTCTTAGAAATTATTAACATCTACACAGAATTTTTCTGTTTCCCATTATACTGGAGCACTGATGCTCCTAGTCAAACTCCTCTCCCCACCACATATCCAGTAGGAACAGATTAGCTGAGCTCTCACATCTAATTAGGAGAAGCATCTATTGCAAGAAACAAAGTTCTTTACATCCATCCAACTTTCAGAAAAAAAAAAAAAAATCAACCAACTCTAAGTATGTAAGATCTTCTAAAACAATTCTCTAAATGGACATAGAATACCACTGTTCCTAATGCAACACACTGCCTCGCTGAGAACCATGGATTAAAAATAATTATCAGGGGCTGAAGGTAAGGCTTAAGTGGTAGAGCACCTGCCTAACAAGTGCAAGGCCTGGAGTTCAAACCTCGGTACTGCCAATAAATAAATAAATTAATTAAAATTAGGAAATTCCTCTTTATGTATAGCGTAGGGTGAAGATTCATAAAAGAAAGGTATGGTGTAAATAAAGGCAAACTCTACTATTTAATGAAGATGACTTTATTTATCATAACTTATTAGCACAACAATTAGATATAAAAATTCGGATTTTAGTCAGGCACTAGTGGCTCATGCCTGTAATCTTAGCTGATTGAGAGGATCTCAGTTTGAGGTCAGCTAGGGCAAATAGTTTGCAAGACCCCATCTTCAAAATAACCAAAGGAAAATGGAGAGAAGGTGTGGCTCAAGCCACATATGCTTTGCAAGCACAAAGTCCTGAGTCAAAACCTAGTCCCATCCCACCCTCCCCAAAAAATCCGTATTTTAACAATTTGGATCAAAGTTTTATGTATTAGACTTACGTATTATGTATTAAAGTCTTATGTCTTAAACTGTATTTAAAAATACAGCTTAAAATGGTATTTGAAATAATGAAGGGTCCTAGAGACACAGCTCAGTGATATAAGGCCTTGGGTTTGCATCCCAGCATACCAAAAAAAAAAAAAAAAGAAGGAAATATGGGTATTCTAGAAAAATCTAAAATATCTCTAGATTTATTTCCTTGAAAGGCAAGGGAACAGCAGTACTGATAGGTGTGGATCTTCTCAGTAACAACAAAACAAAAAACAAAACAAAACAAAAAAAAAAACTTGATAATCTTGTTATTCTGTTTAGAAAGAAAGGGTTTAGTACTACTCTATTAAATGCAAACAGTTCCAGTAGATTAACATTTTAATATTGAGTCTTTTCCACTTAAGGAATTCAATTTGTTTTCATTTTTTAAAGAAATTCAGAAGCTAAATAAGTTATTTAAATGCAAAAGTGTTTAAAATAACTCATGTTGTTCAGGAGAGTATCTGACACATTTATAATGAAAAACTAAATCAAATTCCTGCCTGGCAATACATCTTACAATCACAGTGTCATTTCTTAATCTGTACATGTTTTCATTTTAACTCTCAGGCCAATGAATTCATGGTTAATCTTATAAGATATTTCAAAAGAAATTCTAAGAGCAATAAGTAATTAGTTTAACATGACAATCTTTAAAAAAACACAAAAGTTGCCCCTTCAAAATACCTCAGAAGTAAAACTTCCTTTCTTAGCCCTGATTTAAATTTTCTGTCATGGCTTACCTCTTTTACAGTGAACATTTCACCTTGCGCACCTGCTGCCTGCAAAATCTTCAAAAGTGGCAGTTTTGGTCGTACCTGATGCAAGCATAAAATAAAATAAAACTACTATTTATATTTCAATTTGGATTGGTTTCTGAAAACTCTATGGAACAAATGAACTTTTTTTTTTGGTGGGACTAGGGTTTGAACTCAAAGAGTTTTCCACTTGCAAGCAGGTGCTCTACTGCTTGAGCCACACATCCAGTCCATTTTGCTCTGGTTATTTTGGAGATAGGGTCTCATGAACTTTTTGCCTGGGCTGGCCTCAAACCACGATCCTCCCATGCTCAGCCTTCCAAGTAGCTAGGGTTACTTACAGGCATGAGCCACTGGCACCTGGCAAGAGAACTTTCTTAAATGCTTAAAAAAAAAAAATCCCCAAAAAACCTGAGAGACTTATCACCTAATAATGTAAAATCTTTTAAGGTGTAAAATAACTGCAATGATCACACTACTACTTGCTGTCTGACAAAAGGCATTTATAAATACCATATTCACGCCTACTAGAATGGCTACAATAAAAAAGCTTTTTAAAGAAAATAAGAGAATACAGAAAAACTGGAACCTTTGTGCACTGCTGATGGGAATGTAAAATGGTATAACTGCTATGGGAAATAGCTTTGCAGTCCTCATAAAGTTAAACATAGAATTACCATATAACCCAGTAATTCTACTACTGGTATTTATGAAAAAAACCTGAAGGCTGAGACTAGACTATTTGTACAGCAATGTTCATAGCCAAAAGATGGAAACAACTAAAATGTCTGTCAGTGGATGAATGAATAATCAAAATCTGGTATAGACATTCATCTGCTCACTCATGACTATGGAGTCTGTGGGCTTTTCAGCAACATCACTTGGGCATTTTTGTTTTATTTCTAGATATTTTTATCAAGAAAAACTGAAACACTGAGGAAAGACAAGGACATATATTTACTACCCTGCCATCCTATAATAAACAGAGTAAATTGATTTACTTAATTTTATTATATGCTTGGTGTCTTATTTGTATCCATTCATATAGTTTTACATTTTTACTGTAATACAACATTTTCTGATGAAAATGTTAATTTAGTATGCACTGTTAAAATTTTTAATGAGCATGTAATATACCACTCATCTCTATCTATTAACTATTTACTTAGATCAGGGGATGGCAAATACGGCCCCCCATTTGTAAGTAAAGTTCTCCTTCTTCCCTCCTTTTCTTTCAGTGGTGCTAGGGTTCAAATTCAGAGGCTCACAAATAAATGCTAGGTAAGCACTCTACCAGCAAGCTATACCCCAGTTGTAAATTAAGTTTTACTGTAGTGTAGTCATGCCCATTTTTTATATATTATCTACAGCTACTTGCATGCTATAAGCAGCAGTGCAAGAAGTTATGACAGAGGCAGCATGGGCTGCAAAGTCTCAAATGTATTACTTTCTGGCTCTATACAACAGGTTTGCTGACTTCTCCCCTAAACTTCAAATTTAGGATAATTTGGATTATTAAAAGTAGTTCAGAGAGGCAGATATCAGGAGGATCACTGTTCAAGGCCAGTCTAGGTAAATACTTCCTGAGACCCTGTCTCTAAAATACTTAACACAAAAAGAGCTACTAGAGTGGCTCAAGTTATAGAGCGCCTACCTATCAAGCAAGCATGAGGCCCTCAGATCAAACCCCAGTGTTGCCAAAATAAATAAATAAACAATGCCAGGTGGATAATCTTTATGCATATATTTTTTTCACAATTTCAACAATCTAATTGGAAAATGTTAACAAAAGTGGAGTAACTGAGTGTAGTTAATAAAGACATTTTTGAGGGTGATTCTGTCCCCCCAACTCGCTAATATTCCAGCTATGATATAAGGATAGTGATGATAAGAGTAAAAAGAAAGACCAGTACTCTTTAGGTAGCATTTCTCGGTCCCTACTAATTTAAAGTTTACACTTCGGATGAGCATACTTTTAGTTTTTATTTAAAGTCAACCAAAGAAGGAAGTTAACAATAAGTGCAACAAGAAAATTCATTGAAAGACATCTCTTACTCTCTACTGGGGATAAAGCTGACAGAATTAAACAATTCAAGTATTAATGTACATATGAAATGTCATTCCAAGCTAGCTGTAGTGGCCAAATTTTTTTGGGGGAGACATGAATAAGGGATATCAGTGGCAGCAATAAAAAGAGGCAGCCATGACTGTGGGATGACAGGAGTACATGGGTGTCACTCCTCTGAAAACATCATTGGTAAAAACCTGCACACAACTATAAGTATAATTAAACAGTTTCCAAATAAGAAAGCTCTAGAAGTTCTGAGCAATAAAAAATTCTATCTGCAGAAGTCTTATTCTTTAAAAAGAAAACTTATGGAACAGGGCCAGTTAAATCAATCCTATGTCTTAGATGAAAAACGAAGCTGGTGGGTATCACATACAATTTTATGTGCATAAAATAAACATCAGAAAGTACGGCTGTCATCTTCTAAGAGAAATATTCTGAGACTCTGGGAGCATAATCCATCAGTAAGTTTAAAATAGGCTATTGTAGAATTGGACTCTACTATCGTTAAAGTAAAAACACTAGCATATCTGGATTACCCTGCAATTTTGGAGATGCCTTCAAGATCTCCCTCACCCAGTTATGGCTCAGAGAAACAGGATTTTCATAGTCTACAACCCTTCTCTTTCTATCTCAGTATCAAGACAGATAAAATGGAGTTCTGGTAATCCCACACAGTTTTGGTGCTATAAACTTGACTGACAACCTTCTAAATCTAATTCCATTATTTCTAAACACTTAGTATGGTTGTACATCCAGGTATTTTCAGGGGCTCACAAGCAAGCTCTGCTGCTATTCACCACAACCCATACCTGGACCACTACAGCCACGAGTAGGCTCAGAATAACTGTTCCTCTAAGCTGGCTAGTGCAGCACACCCATGGTGCCTAATTCTGTTTTTTTAAATTATTTTATGGTCAAATCTGTCTCTCTTCTTCCTATAGCCTCCTCAATTTTTTCTTAAGACTTCCCTCATTCTAAAGTTTCACAAATATCCTCTAAATGTTCCCCTAATTGTATTTTTTTGCATTTAAATCCTTATTTGTCTGGAATTTATTTTTGTACAAATTTTGAAAAGTCTTCATCTTTTTTCTTCCAGAGATGGCCAATTATCACAAAAACACTATTGGTACATGCCATATATTTTCCTCACCAAATCCAAATTCCACCTTCATCATCTATAAAGGAACAGGGTACTACAGATTGTGAAATATTTATGAAAACACAAAAATAAAATACATGTTTTTATACATGTAAAAGGTGTGCAAACCGGACCCACCACATCTTAGGGCAGGTTAGATACTATAGGGGAAAGAAGCAGATAAATAAGAGTCTTTAGTACAAATACTTAAAAGTACATAAAGTTTGGATTTAAAGAATTCATTTGCTATATTTACAAGTTTAAACTGATTTTTAAAGCAAACAAACTAACTACAACAGAGAGAAAACAAACATAATCTGGTTCCAAATTCCTTATTAGCCATATGTAACCTAAACATGCTACTAGCTTTGGAAAGGTACCATTCTAAGTAATCTATAACTTCCAAATATTTACCTAATAACCAATTCAAACCAATTCAGTAGCAATTGATCATTGCTACTGTTTACCCATTTCCCTAATGTAACATTTTAAAATATAACCATTTCTGCTGGCAGAGTGACTCAAGTGGTAGACAGCCTGCCTATTATTAAGCTTGAGGCCCTAAATTCAAATCCCAGTGCTGCCAAAATGAAAAAAATATTGGAAGGCTTAAAATACAACCATCTGCTCTGTGTGTAGTCAGCTATAGCTGACTTAAGAAAATATAAAGATGTAAAGAAAAATAGGAATGCCTAATCATGACTTACCTTACTAATTCGTTCTGAAGAGATCCTGCAAGCACTGTCAGATGTTGAACACTGAGCAGAGGTAGAATACGACGTCATTTTGGCAGTGACTATATTACAATCTGTTGGTAAATCTAAAAGAGAAAGAAAAGATATGTACATGTGTACATACACATAATCTATTCTGTAACAGAAAATTCTGTCTTTAGCACTTATGAAAAAGCAGCGGGCAGAAGTAAAAAAGATATGCACAGAGCACTTAACACAAATGCAATATACCCACGCTGAAAGTCTCCATACCTTTGACCACCTTCTAGTTCAGATCCAAAAAAAGCCTTAATAGCTTAAGACTAAACCACACCTCCCTCAGGTGAAGCCTGAAACAGAAACAGGTTTGGGCATGCTCCAACTTCCACAGATGTTAGAGAGTAAATTGTTCTGGCTGAAAGTCAAATTTACAGTTACTTCAACACCTGAATATCAGGTGGTATCAGTTACCTCCTCCTCTTGGGTGGTGCACAAAGGCACCCTCTAGAAGACAGATGCAGAAATGGAAATTACAAAGATAAGATTCCAGAGCACTTCAAGGAAAACCTAGGCAACATGTTGGAACATGTCTTGACAAAGGACCATAGAAGAATGAATCAACATTTTCAGTATCAGTGAAAAACCCTTTTAAATGTACCAAACCTAAAAACATGGCAACTAGAAATGTATAAAGTGGATCAAACTAAGATGGATACAGATCATCATGAAGAAATGCAGCATGAATTGACAATAACAGATAATCTAAATTTTCATTCTCTACTTTTTCTCCTTAAAAAAAAAAACTTAATAGAGAAGGAAAATATATTTTTAAATAAACTTGTTTTGAGTTTGCCTTCAGGCCTTTTTCTAATAAATAGATGACATTCAACTAATGAAATGTGTGACTTAAGCCACATCAGGAAAAAAGTAAAAGCAGCCTAGAGAAACAATCATCAAATGCACTAGCTGAAGCTAACAAGAATCTATCACTCTTTAGGGAAGGCTTCTTAGCTACAACAAAGTAGAAATTCCCCCCTGCCCCATCAGCTTCTCTTACTTCAAAATAGGAACTCAAACAGAATATAAGCACAACTTACAACTTTTTAATTTTTTTTTTTTTGGTGGTGCTGGGATAGTACCCAGGGTCTTGGGCATGCTAAGCAAGCACTCTATCACTTAAAACTACACTCCTAGCCCTTTTGTTTCTGAAACAGGGTCTTGCCCAGGCTGGTCTAGAACTGGAGATCTTCAGCTTCCTGAGTAGCAGGATTATGGACATGTACCACCATGCCTGGCTACACTTACAACTGGCTTTTAATTGACATTTCAGACTTACAAACATGAAACTAATCCTGATCTCAAACCTACCAGTTTTGTAGTTTTCTATGTCTCAGTAAATAGCAACTCCATCCTTCCAGCTGTTCAGGTCAATAATCCCCACCACTGCCATCTTTGACTCCTCTTATACTCCACACCCAGTTCATAAATAAATTCTGAAGCTGTGTATTCAAAATATATCCAAAATCTAACCACTTCTCACTACTTCCATTACTATTACACTAATACAATTCGCCTATCTCTAAACTGCTTTAGTGTCCTCAGAGAATTTACAAGCTCAGTTTCTCCTACACAGTAAGCCTGCCTCCTTCACATTTATTACACACGAGTTTGACCAAGCACTGCCAAAAAAATAATAAATTTTAAAAATCAAAGAAACTTCAAAAGCAAAAAATTTTAAATCCTGTGCATGCATTACATGGCTCAGTGGATGTGAAGAAGTTTTCAGTCAGTCCTGTGTTGTCAGTTGTGCTGAAATTGTGGTATGATCTGCTGAGTGTTTCCCTGACCTTAATTTAGTGAAAATCTGCCTCCCAAGCAAACAGTATTCAAAAGGCAAAGTAAAAGTTAATGTGTTTAATCTAAGTGATAAAATGAAAATCTGAGATTTGGATGGAAAGTGGGCAGAATTAGGGGGAAAAAATAAATCAAGTATCCATAATACAGCACCAATCTCTGCATCCTAAGCATTCTGTTTTTCCTAAAGGCAGGCTCCCTGAAACCATACACATGCAGATACCAAAGGTCTGCTGTACTCTCAACACAGAAGATTTTATGAAGCCCTGGTCACCAAAATTTTGGGGGCTTCTTCCCAATAGCAGCCAATTGTGCTATGGGCAGGTGTCCACAGGTCCACATATGTAAGAAGGGGTATGAAGCTTCCATGCCATCTCTCAGTGAACTATTGCCCAAGAATCTCAGCCCCAGAAGCCACTTGGAACATCCGTTTGGCTTTCACAGACGCTTCACTACATAGGCATGATTAGTACTGCATAGGCATCACTCACCATTGGTCATCAACTCAACCATCAGCCCCTCTCTCCTTCCCAGAGACTGGAGAGTGGGGCTAAAAATCCCTTCATTAACCCTGCCTGTTTTTCTGGTGACCAGCCCCCCATTCTAAGTTACCTAGGGGCTGCCAGCCCTCAATAATTAACATGCAAAAGACACATCACTCTGGGGATTCCAAGGATTCTAGAAGTTGTGTGCCAGGAAACTCAAGAACATCCAACTTATATCCCACAATGTCACACCTCCTAAAGGTTTTCTTACATCCACCCTAGTCTTCTAGTTCCTATTCTTTTGTCTTTGGTCAAGTGTCAGCCCACTGATGAGGCCTTCCATGTCCAACCATTTTTCAAACTACAACCCCCAATCATTCCCTATCTCCTTCCCACTTTTCCTGAACCATCTTTATTACCAACCAATACACTATACATTTTAATTATTTATTATGTAGAATGTAATTCAACATGGGGAGAGGTTGGTATCTATTTGTTCATCAATATATTTCCATTTTAGCATGTGTGAGGTGCTGGGTTCAATCCCCAGCATCACAGGCAGCACCATAAACACTCTCAGAGCCTAAGCTGACAACTATATACACGTTACAGCAATATGGTGATAGAAACATTAGTAGTAATAGTGCAAATGGCTTCTAAAGATAACCCCCAATGAACCACACCACCTACTCGACCTTGTAACAAGTTGATCAATGCAAGTTAAAGAATGCAGTAAGTGATAATGCTTCAATTAGGCACAGCAGCGTCATTTTTTGGTGCTTTGAGAAGCCCCTGAAATATGGTTCTTATTGGAGATCACATAAAAAGACCACATGAAGAGGGCAAGGTCCAGCCGTCCTGGTGAACCCAGACTTGTAGCCACACCCTCGCAAGCACCACACATCTTCTAGCCTCAGATGCTGCCTGACTTACAGCTACATGATAGACCACAAGTCTGTCCAACCCAGCCTGTAAGTGGACAGAATGAGAAATAAGCAAAGAAGCTCTGCAAGTCCCGCTTTAGCAGTATTTTTCTCCCAATAGAACTCTGGTACACAGAATTAATCAAAACCCTTTCATCCAATGCAAGACCCATTTTATTATTAATTTGTTTGTTTATTCATTCAACTTATTTTTTTGCTACTGGAAATTGAGCCCAGGGCCTCATGCATGTTAGGCAAGCGCTCTAACACCCCCCAGACCATTTCTTGATTATTTCCAATACAATAAACATCCACACACTGAAGACTCTGACAATAACCTTTTCTTAATTATAATATACCCATCTATTGTCAAGAGGAAGGTATATGAAAAAGAGATTTCCCTGGTAGAAGAGGGGAACTCTCTACTTGATTTTCTAAGCCTACTATGAACCTGTAAGAGGCGCTCAAGTTGCTTTTGCTGAAAAGCACTGACTCCTTACTTGGACCCACAAATTAACTAATAGGAGAAGCATGGCATCCTTGCCTCCATTATGTATCTGTCTTTGCTCCAAGCCATTTTCTTTACAGTCACTTTACAATCACCTTGGATTGAAGAAAGACAGAACTAGTAACAACTTTATGACAAGGAACCAGAGCCACCTGGAGCTGCCACCCTCCCAGTGAGAATAATTCATATTCCAAACCAGAGTAATCCTCTCAAGCAGGAGCCAGATTACTCCCTCTAGGTGATAACTTCCCAAAACTGGACCAGACCACCTGCCTGACCAAATTGGCCAGCCCCACCAGTCATGAGACCAACCAGACCATATCTGTGAATGAACTTTTTAACTATGCATACCTTTGTTCCCTATACCCAGATCTTTTGTCTGTTTAAACCTACAGCTCATGTTGGTACACCAAAGATGGCTGAAGATGAGATGAGTGCTTATTCTGCCTCTTCCCATGGCATGCCCCAAGCCGTGTAATAAATGTCCTTTCTCTGCCTTCACCAAGCC